TGCAGTTTATTTACAATGCAGCTGTGTTTCCAGACGGAGATTGAACCTAAGGCACAATGTGTTTACAGATGCTCCTCATTCTGCTGTTTTGGTTTGATGTAGGCATATATGCAGTGGCAGGTAAAAAGACATGTTGTGCTTGTACGTGTTGCGACTAAAGGGTCTCATTAGAGCCCTGCAATAGCAGTATGTCAGATCCAAAGTAAAGCTGCATGGCTTTTTCCTGGCAAATCAGAGTACATCGTGAAATTAATTGTCCATCACTCAAACAAGAAAGTAGCTAGTGTTCCAGGAAAAAAACACAGTTCACATGGGCTTTGCATATTACCCTGAAAAGTAGAAGATCTTGTCCCCAGGTGAATTGTTACAGAGCAGCTGATGTCTACACTCACTAAAGATAGCATCCTCTGGATGGGACTGCCACATACACACTGCGCAGCCCTTAATCTGCCTTTTTTTTCTGAGCCTCTTGTGGTGCCCCTGTGGCATCAAGACATAATTATTAATTTTTTTCATCTTTCAGTTCAAAGTCCCAAAAATAATGAGATGTCTAGGTTGCAGCTAGCTAGAGTGATATTTTTGTCACTTGTGGCACGACAGAGAAAGGATGATTGTGCACTCTGGGGCTGGGGGATGCAAGGCAACCCAGTGTGCCACTGCTGGAGACGAACTGGGTGCTGGCCATGGCCCTACTGTGGCCCTGGCCCAAACTCCATAGCAAACACAACTGTTGAGTTTGCCCTTCAGGGAAACCACTGGACTCCTGCTGGAAGGGAGCTGAGCAGCACACTACCGTGTGTCCGGTAAGCATGCCGTGCAAGCAAGGCATCATGGATTGAAGTCAAGCAGGTTGTGAGCCAAATAAATAGCCTAAAACCTCTGCTGTTCAGAAGGTATTTTTGTGTTTGCATGTCTCCAGTGTGATTTTGGTGAGATGAAGTGCAGTCATTCTTGTTAAAATACATCTGTTCTAGAGAACAAGGAGCAATGTGCTGTTCATTTATTTTCTTATTCACTGTATTTTGACTAGTGAATTAACAAAGCTGAAATTTCTCCAGTATGAGAATTCCATTGGATTTTTATGGAAGCTTTTGCCCCTTCCTGTTCAGCTGTGTGATATTACTTCTCTTTCAAATGTGTCAGCCTTACACTGATGAATACAAAATATTTTTCAGCAAGTCTTGAAAAAAAAATCAAGTCATTTCATTTAAAATAAAGGTAATTAAAATATTATTTGAAATGTTAAAATTATTTTAACGTTTTTCATCTATAGCTATGATGTATTTAGCTATATATGTTTCTTTCATGTACATCATAGTCCATGAAACCCTACTGAGATGTTAGCAGAGCATTTCTATCATATAAATTGTTTCTTCATTCCCATTTACACTTTCTACACAGGTCAATTTCCTCAAAAACCTGTTCATAAGCACGAGTGTGGGTGAGAAGAAGAAATATCGCATTACAGAGTTCGCTCTTAAATAGCTTTTGATGATGGCAGATCAAACATCTTCCCTTTACCCTGTTGAGGAGTGGCACGTGTGGTGTTGGGAGTGAGGAAGTGGTGCATTTCCCTTTCGGTTTTGCATGTGGTCTTGAATGTATCTGTCATGAATTCTGAGCCAGCTCTGTGGGCAATGGAGTATCATCAGGAGCCCCACTTGCTCCCCTGGGTTGCTTTGCTACGCCTACAGATGTCTACTTTTGGCCACTGTCATAGAAAAAAAGGTACCAAAGGAGCTGGGTCTTTGCTGCTACTGGTACAACTTTTACTGTGCTTTTGTATCAACAGGCCCAACCTTACTAAGAGCTGTCAATCTCCTAGACAGTGTTTTCACCCACTCTTTC